GAGTCTAGATAAACGTTCTCGTGAAATGTGGCCTAAGCGTTGATGCCACAACATGGATGAAGTTTCTAAGTCTCGTTTTCGTTTTCTCTTTGTTAGTGTCTGATTGATATTATATGACAACAAAGATTTGGAAAAATCATCATCTAGTTCTAATTTATAGAGACCACCATCCAGAAAACCATGACCAAACACTTGAGAATTGAAACTAATAGTAAGTCTGCCATGACCATGAGAAACATCAAAACCGTCTATGTCTAACTTTGGTCCTGATACTAAATTCCGAGTAATCTCAGGAATATATAAGGTATCATAAAGTTTAATACATAAACCAGTTTTCATTATTAATTCTAAGGTTCCCACGGCTTCGACAGCTAGTTCTGTTCCATTCCCCAGTTTAAGTGTTCTTCGGTTTCTTTCCAGCTTCTAGATTGTAAGGAATCCCTGAAGTGAGTTGGTTACATGAACCATAGAACCAGAGTCAAACCACCATGTATTAGTTGGAACATTTAAATTAAAAGACTCAAGTATCATGTAAAGATGATTACCTTTCTCCGTCAGCCACTCCTTAAAGTCTTGGCAGTCTTTCTGTCTATGTCCTTCCTTGCGGCAGAACTTGCAGTAAGACTTCCCTTTGGAGTTCTTAGAGCCGAAAGAAGCACTTGCATCACGTTTTTGGACTTTAGAAACATCCTTCTTATCGACATTGCCCTTCCTCTTCTTTGGGTTAGCGGTCATGAGGTAAGCCACATCCGGTTTGTTCAGCTTCAGACGCTCTTCTTCTTGTACACACATAGCAATCAACTCATTCATCGACCACTTGACCTTCTGGGTGTTGAAGTTGACCTTGAAAGCTTCAAAAGATGCAGAAAGAGAAGTCATTATGAAGTGCACCAGAAAACCTTCACTGATCTCCATGTCTAATCCCTTGAGCTTACAGGCCATGTCGTTCATCATCATGATGTGCTCACGAATGCCGCTATTCTCGTCATATTTTGTAGTCACCATCTTCAAAATGAGGGTACTAGCATGTGCCTTAGAAGTTGCTTTGAATTGTTCCTCCACAGAAGCCAGATATGTTTTAGCATTAGATGAATCTAGAATAGCTCCCCTGATGATTATGCTGATGGAATTTTTAATTAGCATAAGAGCCATTCTATTGCACCTCTCCCATTTCTCATGTACTATTTTATCTTCAGCAGTACTTTTATCAGTGAGGGTAGGAGGGGCAGGCTCTCTGAGTGCATAATCAAAATCCAACATGCCAAGAGTTAGCATCAGTGAATCTTTCCATGAAGAAAAATTCGCACCATTCAAGGTTTCAATTCCCATATTTGGGGTTGATAGTGGATTCAGATGAGAGAAATAAGACACATAATTAAAGAAGAAGTTAAGGGGTAATGAACTAAGGCTGGCGAAGTTAAGGACCATTATTTGTAATGAAGCAGTGATAAGAGTCTATTATAACACCAAAATAATAGACTAAATTTAATTCTACTTAAACAAATGGCTTTCACTTTGGTTATGACCACTTATTTAAGTATTATGAATAATAAAATAATGATCTGCAATTTGAATGTAACACATCACCTTTGGGCAGAAGTGAAACATTTAAATTTTAATGCGCATATATATATTTAGTTCGCAGTACACAATTATAACACATCATCTTTGGACAGAAGTGAAAAATTATGTATTTAAGGCGAGTGTCATGCAAATATCTATTTAAGGATATGTACTAAATGACAATGCTTAATAAGACTTGAAATAAGTTTTACAAATATTACACATCACCTTTGGGCAGAAGTGTACTATAAGGTATTATTCAAATTAAGCAAAATAAATCATTTTAACTAATCATAAAATAAATTTTATTTAAGATTAGTCAAATGATTTATAAATTTAATGTTAATAATTAATTAACCGCAAAAGTTAAAGCGGTTCGGTGCGGGGCTACGAAAAAATTGGGGACTCGTTAAGATTAATTTAATTAGAAAGTCAAAAGGCATATAAGGCAAGAGATTTTCCAACAAGTAAAAAAATTTTAATTTTTTTTAAAAGGGTATTTTAGCATATCCCTTACTTAGTTTTGCTATTCTATGTAAAATAAATCAATATTTAGGAAATAGAATATATTATGCAAAAGTGAGATATGCCATACAACTTAAGGAAACACAATTTTATTCCAAATCAAATACCAAAATAAGATGATTTCATCAAAATAAGAAAGAAGAACATGAATAATTTATTTAGATTCATAGTTACTGGAATCAAAACATAAAACAATAATTTTTTTAAAAAAACGTATGGATTACAAATTTAAACACTAAGAAGAATCAGACCACTATCGGATCTGCAAGAAAATTAGGTGGAACTCCACAATCAATTTACCAAACTGATGCTTACTCATAATCGGAAACATAAGCCAATTAGTTTTTAAGAGTCAATTTAGAAAACTGTCTGCTTTTAATGTGGAAACAAGATCTACCCTCATCACAGTTTCGTTAGGTTTAGGAAGAAAAAGAAAAAAAAATCTGATCCGATTCTCAATCCATGAAAAAAAATATCTGATTTTGATTTTAATTCCAGTTTTTTTTTGGGAAACAAAAGAATTGATTAATCAACATTTAGCTCTGATACCACATGTTGATCAATTCTTAAACATAAAATATAAATTAGGGATTTAATCATGTGTACCTGATAATCCTGTAAACGTAGTTAGGGATGAAGCCATGATTTTCATGCAGATCGAGTTCCCGTTTAGGGTGTATCGTTATGATGGCTAAGGTGAGGATGAGACTCACGAGAATAGAGAGGCAGAGAGGAGGCGTAAGATTGGTGTGTCTTGATCTCTGCCTAATGACCTCTATATATACACCCAAGGGGAAACCCTAATTAGGTCATAAGGGCAATTACGTCCATCAAATAATTACCAAATAAATACGTAGGGTATTTATTAGGTCAATGATCAATTAATTAGATAAATGATAACTCAAGCCACATAATAAAATCGTGTCTAACATTTGTAGCTACATGCTATCATATTTGGAAGGCTAGGAATAAGCTTTTCCATAAACAGAGGAGCAGCCCAAGATAGAAGAAATGTATAACAGCACTCTTCTTTATCTGACATCATACTGGGAGAGGAGATCGAAGAAATAGTTTAGCATTGTATGGTGATGGGTATATCCCTATACCCGGCCCGGACAACCGAAAGGGACAGGTCAAAATATGACCAGTCACTTTCATCAATCACCAAATGAGGTTAACTCTTCGATAGAGACGGGTCAAAAGTTGACCGGTCACTTTCCTTGAAAAAGTGACCGGTCACATTTTGGGCGAAAGCCAAAATATCACCTTATATTACGAAGGATCTTCCGGAAGACCAAAGAGACGGGTTGAGCTCAAGAAATGACCGGTTAACCTTTGAAAAAAGGTGACCAGTCATATCATCTTACTTGGCAAACATTGGTCTAGACTCGCACGCATTGTGAACCACGTCAAAGACCGAGGGACCACCCCGCAGCTCATCCATCACGAGGCATACAGTGAAAGGGATATTTGTCACCTTGCAGGGTTGATTGGATTGAGAATATCCATTTATAGTCTTTGATTGAACAGTGTCTTGGCTTGTAGCTATTGAAATCAATGATTGTACAGTGTTCCCATTAACTACAGTGGCCTTCCCACGAGCTTCCTATTTTGTCCATGGATGAACAGGGAAAGGTCACAAATCCTCCTCCATAAATATGATGATATTTGATAGAGGAGGGGATCCAATTTTTATTTCACTAAAAAAGTTCACTCATGAGATAGAGTAAGAAATATAATTCGGACTGAGGAGATTTACCCGGTCTAGGTCATACTTTGTGTTCTTGTTGTGTGTATTTTATTACGGGTCGAGTGTGTCCAGGTCAAGCCCGGTCAACCCACCCAGCTATATTTACACCATCATATGGTGTTTTATTTAGATGGCTTAGTTGACAAAGTTTGTATACTGTTTTTGGGACTATTGTTGAATGAATGGATGTGCATTTTGTTTCAAAAAAAAAGTTTGAGATATTTGTCAACTTGGGTCTTTTTTTTGGATTTAATATAGGGGATTGCACTCCTTGTGGGATTAAGGATTTGTTAGATCTGATTGAAAT